TAGTTTTAATTTCATCATTAGCTCTTCAAAAGACTCGTTAAATGAATGTATATCAAGTATTATAAAGTATTTTTAGGGTGTTAAATGCATCTAAAAAAAATAAGAGTAAAATACACCGGTTATCCTTATATTTTACCTCAATTACCGAAACCTTCTTTTTATTTTGAAAACATATATAAACCTCCCTTACAATTAAAACATACGTTATACAAACCTTCTTCCTATATTTAAAATTTTATTTTCATCTATCCAAACCGTTAGTTAACTGTTATGTTTGACTTTAAATTAATTTTTTGACCAAAATACCCCTTTTTAAATTAATAATTATTCAGACATTTATAGTTTCCAAAAAATGTTTTATGAAATCAAAAAATAATTATCTTTAAAATTTCTAATATGGTATAAAATTTATTAATTTTGATCCAAATCATAAGATTTTATAATTTTCATATTTTACTTTAAATCATAAAATTAGTTAAATTTTTAATCAAATCTTTTATGTTTGCCTTAACTGAATGAAATTGATGTAACTATAGAAATATAATTTAGAAATTCATTAGAATGAGGAATAAAATAATAAATAAATTTTATTTTGATATAAATTTCAGTTTAAAATAATATTATTAAAATATTCCTAAAAGGTGTTAACTAATTGAACTAAACTGTATGTTTTTAAAATAAAAGAGAGGTTTGTATAATTAATGCAAATTAGAAGGGTAGTCAGATTATTTTACTAAAAAAAAAAAATTCAAGGTATCAGCACATCACAAAATATTTTAGGATACAGAACACACTTAAAAAAATATTTTAGGATGCTAAGTACATTACGAAATATTTTAGGATGTTAGCTATACCTGGCAAAATATTTGATGTTACTAGATACACCTTAACCTTTGGATTAATGTTCTTTTGATTAATTTTTTCTGGTTAATTACTTTCTCTGTAAGAAGTGACTTTAATAATAAGAGCCCTTCCCCCCCTCCCCTCCCCAATAACTTGGGATTTGTTTTTATTTTCACTCGAATCAATTGAAACCGTTCGATCTAACTCGATGAGAAGTCTCCTCCGATCGATTCATGTATTTTGAGACGCGTCTCCTCAAAAGCGCGGGCGGTTACAACATGTGAGTGGTAAAGCAAATACTACCTCCGGTTTTAATTATAAAAATTAGTTGGCTAATTTGAAAAAATTAAAAAAAAATTAAGTTAGTTATTTGTAATAAATAAGTGTTATTTTTCTTAAAATATCCTTACCAATTAAGTGTGTTGGTTAGAATTATCATTGTTAGAAAGACCATCTTGAAAAAAAAAGTATAAATATGAGAAACAAAATGGATTAAGATAGTATATTTAGGACTAAAATAAAAGTCAAACAATATCTTATACTAACTCCGATCCTATTTATAAGATCCAGTTGACTAATTTGAGGAGATTAAGGGAAGAAGTTAAGTTAGTTATTTATAATAAATATATATTGTCTTTCCTAAAATATCCTTACTAATCAACTATATTGGCTAGAACTACAATTATTAGAAGGACTACCTTGAAAAAAAATACATAAATATGAGAGACAAAATGAATTGGAGTATTATATTTAGAACCAAAATAAAAATCAAATAGAATTTTATATTAAGAACCAGATATAGTATTAAGTACCGGAGGTAGTATTAGTGTTGGGTCTTTGCCCCATAAAAAGTGTTTTGCGTGTATGCCTATTTGTCCTCTGTGTATTGATTAGGTCAATTGATTATTTTTTTTAAAAAAATATACTAGTTTAATATAACTTTCTTCTTATGATATAACTATATGATTGGATCAAATACGAATATTATCGAATCCAGTTAAACAATCCCAAAAATGTTTTCCATATTCATGTGGATTCAAACTTGATACTTTGTATCTAAACAATCAAACTTCCACTGAAACCAACGTTGATTTCATTATAATTTTCTTGACCAATGACGTTTCAGTTTAAATCATACGGAATATCACAGGATTTTCCCCGTTAACGCGTACGAACACCACGCAATGTGCCCAGCCTTGATATTTCTGTCGAAATTCTTGTCCAAAAATTTACAAAAAAAAAAAGGATCCGTTAGGAGATTTTCCTTTGAATTAGTACTAATCTTTTGCTTCCAACCTTGCCTAGTTACCTACTTCAAGTAATGCGACACAAAAATAAATAGGGAATTTGACTTTGAAGGTTTGAACTAAAATCAAGTCAGAATTTCCATTCAAATACTTCATCGTTTTTTTCACTCAGATTCTCATTTTTCAAAGTTCAGATTCTTCCTCCTTTGGCTTGAGTTAAGAGCAAAGCGTGTGTTAATTATTGACTAATTGTGGAGGATTAGTATTTCATAAACTTTTCGTAGTTATGCTTTGCATTTGCACAGAATGCAGCGTGAGCTTTACGTGCTCCATTTGTTTCTTTGACAGAAAACTTTTGTTTGACAATATGAATTCTTGTTGCTGCCTCCGATATAGTTAACTGATTTCAACGAGAAAGTTACTAAATTATTTTAAAATATTTATATTTATTATTTTATCTAAATTAATTTATCTTACTTATAAATTGATATATAATCTAATAGTATAAACAAGTATTTTAGAAAGATCAGATAATATATGCTATAATTAAATAATTGGATACTCTCTATTGTTTAAAATATGAGATAAAATTTATTAATTTATGTTTATTAAATATGTAAGGCGTGTATTTTTTTTTTAAATATGCTCTTATCAATAAAGAAAGAAGAAAATATAGGGTAAAATTGAAAAAAAGACAAAATTGAATGTTATCTTATAAAAAAATCAAGTTCCTCTAACAAAGTTTAACTTATATTTTGAAACGAAGGGAGTACTTTTCTTAATTTTTCTAAATTAGTTAATTGGGTATTATATTAAGAATGTGAGGTAGTATTGTCTTACTTATAACCTTATCTTCACTTGTAAAAGAAATTTATGGAGACAATGGATTAAAAAAATTAAAGACATACTAAAAATTTTGAAAAAAAAATCTGACATATTAATACTACCTCCGATCCTTAATATAAGAGTTAATTGACTAATTTGAGTATATTAAGAGTTGACTAATTTGAGTATATTAAGAAAATTAGTTAAGTTAGTCATTTGTAATAAATATGTGTTGTCTTTCTTAAAATATCCTTCTTAATCAAGTATATTGGCTAAAACCACTATTATTACAAGAATTACCTTAAAAAAATAGATAAATATGAGAGACAGAGTGGATAAATAGATGTTGTCTTTCCTAAAATATATTTGTTAATCATGTATGTTTGAATTACCTATAGATACTAACTCCTTAACATATGCAACTAATATATGAATTACTTGAGGGCAAAATAGATAAATATTGGAGATAAAGTGGATTGAGAACCAAATTATAAGTCAAATTAGCATTACATCCGGAGGTAGTATGTGCTTTAATAATCTCCTTTACATTTTATCTTCTTACACTGACTTTGCTTCTATTTAAATATACATTTAAATTCAAATAATTAATATCGATAAGAATACGATAAAAAGATTTTTTTTTTTGCGAAATTTATCTTATATTTGAATAAATTTTATGTACTAATTCATCCTTCATAAATCCTAAACTATAAAAAATAATTTAAGTTGAGAATGGTATTTTATATTTTGTTATAGGAAAAAATAAGTTCTCTTATAAATAGTATGAAAAATTGCTAAAAATTTTCCTATTAAAAATTTGAACATACAGTTATGTATAAATGTCTTCAATTTGCATATAATTAAACATAAATTACATACAAATTAAGAAAAGTCATACAAGCTAAAGATCAATTGCATAGCCCTATTTTAGGGGGAAAATGAGAAATGTTTGGACATAATTGAAGATACGTTACGCAAAACTGAAAAAAATTATACTCGCTAAAAATAAATTGCACAATCCTATTTTAGAGGCAAAATGGAAGATGTTTCCACACAGTTAAAAAAAAAAAAAAAATTACCCCTGCTCAAGAAACTTACAAATTTTAGGTACCATTGACAAGGGAGAATTACCGTAGAATAGAGATTTAATTACCTAAAAGTCTAATAACAAGTATATAAGTACAAATTTCAATGTAAAAAATGAGATCGGGTTTTTTTCTCACTCATGATTGAAATTTTGAGTAATTAAATATCTTCATTATCCATGGGACTCACAGTAATTCTCTCATATTTTAAAAAGGGAGTTTTTAGCCATTTTTCTTAAATAATACTAGTAAACTGTAAAAAAAAATATTTTTTTAAAAAAAGTCTTATAATTACTATTCCTTCCATCCCTTTATACAATAAATAACTATAATTTCTATCTTATTCCTATTTAATTATTTATAGGAAAAATTTGCAAGATATCTCAAAATTTCTTGATTATTTTCATATTTTGACTATATTAATTACTTATTTTAATACTCAATATATTTATTATCTTATTTCTTAAATTTATTTTTTTAGTTTAATAATATCCGAAAAAATAAATTTTTTATGTATTTATTATTTTTAACTAATTTTAACTAACTTTTTTATTCATATGATTTTGTCAAATATTTCTTATAAAAAGAATATTAAAAACCGTAATCCGACCCAAATAATGCGCCGGGTCGCATCTGTCTGCGGTTGGATGGGAGAATTAATGAAATATACGCGGATTCGGTGTTCATCCGAAACTCTTCAGAAGACGGACTAGAAAGGCTCATGCATTTTCCTTGATTGGCTGAACAACTTAAAATGTAATTTTCGGTGTGTCCGTCTACTTCCATTCGTTTTTCGTTTTATTCCTGTACTTTCTTGTTGCTTTCCTGGTTCAAATTTGTCCCTGAAGGAGACCAAAGCAGAAAAATTCAAGGACCCGTTCCAAGTCCCACAGTCTAATTTTGCATGGAAATTTCCGTCTTGAGCTTCAAGGTGACCCCTCCTATAAGAATGAAAAGGTATCATGCGAACTCGAAGACAAGGTCTCAGAACTTTTCAGCATTTTGCCTTTCCGTGTCTCAGGTTTGATTTAAATGCTCCGAGTCAGAGCTTGCAACCTATATTCTTGCCTTTTGGCAAATCCGAAATCATTTCTCTCATTTTCTGCAGTCCCTTCACCTCCAAAGACAACTCTTGGTTCCATTTACCCCTCCTGCCCTGTCTTCCCCAAAGGTGAGGTCTGTATATTTGTAGTTATATATCCAACTGATTTAAGGCAGCGCCTTTGGGTATTTGGAAACAATTTTAGGTGCTGGCATGAGTTGTTTATGCTTTGAGCTTGAGCATTGTGATTTGGTTTCAGTGTATACTTGAGTTTTGGAGTTAATCGTGCTTGCATTGGTATTCCTTTAGGTAACAGCATGAGTAACTGTTTGATCCCAAGGACATTCATGTCGGTTTCCACAGCTATAGAGGTAATGGAAGATAGAAGCACTAATGTACTTAATGCAAAGGAGGATAATCATGGAGGAGTTACAGTTAACGTGGACCAGCCTATGGATTCCATGGTCTTTGCTTCTTTGCTGGAATCATCAATGTCAAACTGGCGGGAACAGGTAGATTGTCAAATTTTTAAATATAATACCTCTTTTTGATTGAGTATATAAGATTTCTTTTCAGCTTTATACAAATAATCAAAATGGCTTTTACAGGGAAAGAAGGGGGTATGGATCAAGTTGCCCATACGACATGCAAATCTTGTTGAGGCTGTGGTGAAGGTAAATGCATTTGCTGCTGAATCAGTCTTGGCTAATCTTAACATGTTGACCTGCAAGTTCTCGTGGTCATGCTGATATTTGATACTGATCTCTTTTTGCAGGCTGGATTTAGGTACCACCATGCGGAGCCAGATTATCTGATGCTTGTACGTTGGATTCCCAACACTGCTGATACCCTTCCTGCAAATGCTTCACATCGCGTTGGAATCGGTGCATTTGTCATGAATAATAATAGAGAGGTATTCCTTTTTGTCTTTCTAGTTTTCATTGGGTCAACATTTTGTCGTCTAGCACTATCTAACGAAAGTACCATTGTTCATGTCATGAATATGGTATAAACTTCACCTTGAAGAAAATTAAAGAAGCAAGACTTCCAATTTTTTTTGAATACTTCGGCCTTGTTATCTGTATATGAATATAAAATCCTGCATGATACTTGCCTTCTCACCAAAACAAGTGGATTGTAAATTTAGTGGCTTTAATGCCTGTTCTTTTAAACATCTTAAGCTTCAAGAGTGGCTGGTCTTAAGGCACACGCAAATGTAATTGTCCACATATAATGATGTGTGTAGGAACATATTATTAGCTACATTCCTAGATTCGTTGAGGCTTTAGCTTTTGGATTGGCAGAGATTCGTTAGCAACTGAGGAAAAACAAAACATTTACTTTATCAAGGGGAGAAATCTGGGCTTTTTGTTTTCTTGGGACTTACAGATATAGCAAAAACTTATTTTCCACAATGAGGATCAATCTTTTCCCTTTTCGAGTACGTTTTCATTTGCTCATCAAAGGAACCTGTGTCAGCCTTCATTCCGTGATTTTCCATCTAGTTTTCAGGCCAAAAATTTCTATTTAGTGCTGTGACAGTGTACTCTTATGATTTATTTGATGTGTCATCCTAATGAAATTATTTTGTTTCACTCTATAGGTGCTTGTGGTTCAGGAGCGCAATGGGTGGTTCAAAGGTAAAGGTGTATGGAAGTTACCTACTGGAACTGTTGAGGAGGTAGGCATCTTCAATCCAATTTTGATGAATTATTTACTGTGTTTATATATTTCTGTATATAATTTGGATTGCATTTACAGGGTGAGGATTTTTCTGCTGCTGCTGTTAGGGAAGTTGAAGAAGAAACAGGAGTAAGTTTACTTAACCAATCTATTAAGTTTTCAACTCTGTTTTTTCCGGAGGTTTGAACTTTCTCCAGGTGAAATTGTCCTGGCTTATCTAAGTGTGAACAGACGGGGACCAAAAGAGGTGTTTGACCCAGTTTTTGGACTCATTTGAAGCCTAACACCTCTCTGCTTTAATTCTTCTTTCAGATAGAGACAGAATTTGTGGAAGTTTTAGCTTTCAGGTAAGACTAAGACATCCATTTAATTAGCGTATTTACATGTTAGTTGATAGCCATTAGTCGTCAAGGCACGGACTGAAATATTTTTCTCTTTTCTATCTTTCTTGCATTGCATCAGGCAAAGCCACAAGGCTTTCTTCCGGAAATCAGACATGTTCTTTGTTTGCATGTTGCGACCACGTTCCTTCGATATTCAGATGCAGACCTCTGAAATTGCAGCTGCTCAGGTATGTTCCAAGGCCAATTAATCCTTTTTTTTTTTTTTTTTTGGGGTCTAACTCCTACTCAGTTGCTTTCAAACTCATGATAATGTCTAATAGATTTCAACTTTTATTCAGTCATCTGGTCTTATGCTTATATTCTTATTCTGGTCAAGTGAACTAGTGTTTTCAATGTCTCACATCAGAAACTCAGGAACATATTTCATCTCTTTTACCTGTGGATGAGAAATGTCACTCATATTCTGATATAAAAAAGAAAGTAATTAGAAGTTACATATAATGTCAACAAGGACATAATGGACATTGCATCTGGTAGATATCAATCAGGGTCTGATGTAATTGTCCTTTTTATTGATGCAGTGGATGCCAGTTAAGGATTATGCAGCCCAACCCTTTGTGACACAAAACTCGGGCTTTGACTCGGTTGCAAAAATATGCTTAGAGAACCTGGATGGGAACTACACTGGCTTCTCTCCTCTGCCTATAGTTTCATCTACTGGGAAAAAGACTTACCTATATTTCAACAAACAGCATGCTGGCCACTTGTTTGCTTCCGAAGATCACCAAGCTTGACTTGCAATTGCAAGTGCAATAGGACTGTGAAACCTTCATAGACTATTAGGTTGTTTATAGCATTACACAGCTAGCTAGCTAGCTATCTCTAGCTCTCATAGTTTCTGATTCTGCATGCATTTTTTGCTATAACCATTTAATAATGGATTCAGTAATTTATTGTTTGTTGATTTATCAGATCTCTCTGCCATGTAAAGCTTTCTGATTATAGTACTCCCTCTGTTCCTTATTATAAGAGACATTTGATGCTTATGGCATGTTCCCATATATAAGAGACACTTAAAAGTTGTCTCTATTTTTTTGTATTGATTTCCTATTTTACCCTTATTTATTTTGTCTCCAACTCATACCCTCTTTCCCTCCCACTTTTCTTTCTTTTAATAATTTAATTGTTCTCTCTCATACTCTCTCTCCTTATTAATGGAGGCATTGTTGGAAAAAACATTTTATTTTTTACACATTAACTGTCCTCAACTAATTTTAACTGTTTTTTTTATCAACGTAATTTGGTTATTTGTCTCTTATAATAAGGAACGGAGGGAGTATCCAAGTGTGATTTTATTTATATGCTTATCTGATTTCCTTTAGCGTTCTACTTCCAGGTATTGTGTCCCTAATTTTATTTCCCGTCTCCGTAGTGCCTCATTCAATCAGCTGAGAATAAGGCGTTCATCGTGAGATCAAATTAATTAATGTTGATGTCACCCCAAGAAATATAATAAGAGTTATGTGAGAATAAGGAATCAAATAGGATTTTTTTTTAAAAAAAAAATCCCAAATTCAGCTGTTATAAGATTGATTCATAAGAGTATGTATATCTTTATACGTAGTGTATTTTTAGATTTTAGAATCAACACGTCTAAACTCTCTTGTATATGAAATAACACATACAAGATTATAAACCATGTACTGAGCAATATAATACTCCTCCGGTCCTAATTATAAGACCCAATTGACTTATTTGAGGAAATTAAGGAAGTAAGTTAAGTTGGTTATTTATAATAAATAAGTGTTGTCATTCCTAAAATATCTTTGCTAATTAAGTATATTGGCTAAAACTATCATTATTAGAAGGATTATCTTGGAAAAAAATACATAAATATAAGAGACAAAATGGATTGGGTCTTATAATTAGGACCAAATAAAAAGTCAAATTGGGTCTTATAATAAGGACCGGAGGAGTATATTCTTTAAACTGCGTATGATGAAAGAAATCTGATTATTAAAAAAAAAATCTGGTGTTTCCGGTGTTCTGTGATTAATTTCGTTGGCTGACTTTTTATAAATGATAAGAACATCTCAATTAAAATTAAAATTAAAAGACCTGTTGATAATATTTATGATAATAGTATTATATTAAATTTAAGTATAGGTGGCTCACTATAGTGTAAAATCAACCTAATGGATTATTAGTTTATATCCAATATTATTAAATTAAGTCAACTTTAAAGTTAGATGAGGAGACATGATGCAGGCATCTAAAGACAATCAAAATTTAATATCTAACTAAAAAATTTTGTCATATGTAAATGCAAAATAATTCACATACAAATTGCACAGATCCCACTCATCACATATTTATTTATTCTGAAATTCATTTGATCGGGACATTGTGGCCTTGTAGGATTTTCGTCCGTTTCCTTGATGTCATTATCAGTTACAAAATAATCAATCTTTATCACTGTTTATTTATACAATTACAAATCTCTAACTTAGTCTCACTGTATAAATTTTTCCTGTCACACGGCAGCTTCAATTACCTAATACTCCCGTAGGAATCGGGATGTTGGTTCGTCTGATTCTATTAATTACTTCTTCAATCCTTAATACTCCTCCGATCCTAATTATAAGACCCAATTGACTTATTTGAGTAGATTAAGGAAGTAAGTTAAGTTGGTTATTTATAATAAATAAGTGTTGTCATTCCTAAAATATCCTTGCTAATTAAGTATATTGGCTAAAACTATCATTATTAGAAGGATTATCTTGGAAAAAAATGCATAAATATAAGAGATAAAATGGATTGGGTCTTATAATTAGGACCAAATAAAAAGTCAAATTGGGTCTTATAATAAGGACCGGAGGAGTATAAGATCTATTTAACTAATTTGATTAGATTAAGAAAATTAGGTAAGTTAGTTAATTATAAGAAATGTGACACATTTTTCCTAAAACACCATAATCATCTTTCTTAATATCTCCTCTTTCTCTTCTATTTGATTATAGTTGAGGGAGTATCTATAGGGGCAATTTAGAGAAAATTAATAAATATGAGAAATGGGTGTTATATTTAGGATCAAAATCCTATATTAAGGACCCAAGGAGCATTAATTAATCTATAATCAAAATATTTAGGTGAAATTAATTTTTTTATCCCTATGGTTTTGACTCAACTGCAATTCAAAACCCTAAACTTTTACTCCTTATAACTCAATTCTTATACTTTTATCTTGATACAACTTAGTCGAATAATTTTAACTATTTAAAAATTTAGTTTTTTTTTCTAAATTTTTTTTGCCAACTTCAAAACTTTAGTTTCTATATTTTAGAAAATAAAGTTATACTAAATAAACCTAAGCTTCATAGAATGTATAACTTCATTTTCAAAACTGTAGTTTTCATATTTCAGAAAATAATCTGTTTGATATAAAGGGAATGGAGGGGAGGGGATGAGAGTTTGCCTCACTTTTCTAATTTTTTAAATCAAACCCATTAAATTTTTTTTTCACCTCCCTTCCATTTCACTCGTGTCAAACATATAGTTAGGAATTAAAGTTTTAAATAATTAATATTATAAGACTTGAGTTATAGAATATCAAAGTTTAGGGTCCTAATAGATGAGGACTAGGTTTATGCAAATTAAAACGATAGGGATTTTTTTTTCTCGCCAAAAAATTATTAATTTTTCTAAATGCTAAAAATACAATAACAACCATTTTTTCCTTTCAGGTGGCCAAAAAAAAAATTTCCCCCCCTCAAATCATATGGATTAATTGACCTGATCTCAAAAAAGAATTGATATAACAAGAGAATGAGCTCTGGGGTCCCAAGAATTAAGTGGCTGGATCAAGCAAGGGAAGGAAAATCTTATAATTCCATATTCCGTCTGAACCCGTCTCTTTTTGGAGATACCCGGAAAAGATTCGCCCTTTTAGTTTTTTTTGGTCAAAGATTCGACCTTTTAGTTGAAGTCTAAGGATTTTGTAATATACGAATTGCGTTTTTTCTTGACTACATTATTTCTTACTTCCTTAAGATTGTTTTTTCCTAATTTAAATTGCCTCAATTCGTATAATACATTTTATTGAATTAGAATATGGCTGATTTTTCAATAAATAAGAGAGGTAATGCAAATAAAAAATGATTATTATATCAGGAAAATTATTATTTAATGCTAGTAACAAAAATAGTAAAATAGTCAGGTATTCATTTCTTATTTTTCCTCTACTGATTTATCCAAAAAGATTTATAAAATTTCTCTTGCGTACCATTTTTTTAATATTCTTTCTATCCTTAATATAAGATTTATTTAATTAATTTGATTAGATTAAAAGAATTAGGTAAGTTAGTTAATTCTAAGACATATGACATATTTTTCTTAAAACACCATCATCACTTCCTTAATACTCCTCCGGTCCTTAATATAAGACCCATTTAACTAATTAGATTAGATTAAGAAAGTTAGGTAAATTAGTTAATTATAAGAAAAGTGACACATTTTTCCTAAAACACCATAATCATCTTTTTTAATACCACATCTCCCTCTTTTATTTGATTATGGTTGATGGAGTATCTATATGGGTAATTTAGAGAAAATTGATAAATATGATAAATGGTCTTATATTTAGGACCAAAACCATCTTAAGAATTGGGTCCTATATTAAGAACCATAGGAGTATCTTTTTTCCCTCTTTTACTTGATTATGGTTAAGGGAGATCTATAAGGAGAATTTACAAAAAACTGATAAATATATAAAATAAATCTTATATTTAAAAATAAAATTAACTTAATAATTAAACCCTAAAATCCAACAGAGTATAATAAAATTATTTTTAAAATTATCATCCCGGCTCCAACCCCAACACCCATAAAGGCATATGTACCAATCAGTTCCGCTCGCGAACTATTTAGAGGAAGAGGATCCATCATCAGGAATCTTCTGTCCTCGGAGATGGCTGTGGCAGAAGGCAACTGGGTTAAGGTCTCTCTCTTATCCCCCTTCGTCTACATCGCCATGTTATTCTCCACTGTGTACGATTGCGATTTACGATCTTCATTTCTGCCGAATTGTCTTTTTTTCATTTCTCACTTCAATTTGTTTAGGGATTCTCAACCACGTATTTGTTTCCCTGTGAATTGGCAAGATCATCTTTTCTGTTCTCATTCAATATTCACCCGACACTGTAAATTTCGCTCTAAAATTCCACTCTCTATTTAACTGGCACTTGTTCTTGCAAATTTACGATTTCCTGCAACTTTTTTACGGCACAATCAATCCATCATTCTAAGTAACTGAGGGTAGAAGATAGGATAGGGATTTCTTGTGAAAATCAGGTATTCTTACTTTTAATGAAAAGCCCTTTATTGATAGTTTCACTGTTAACTTTATCTCTAATATGAAAATTTTCCTGATATTTGTCCCTATCATCAACAATTTCAAGCTATCACCTTGCTCTGTTCTGCGTTGTACCTGGAGAAGTATGAACTTATATCTTGTCTTCAGAATTTTTGGGGGGAAAAAAGAAATTACTATAGAATTTATATTGCAAAATTTGTTTTTGGGGGTTATTTTCCACCAGCTAGAGCAGAATGGAACAGGGCCTGGGGCAAGAAGCTCACATGCAATTGCCATAGTAGGACAGAAGGTGTATGCATTTGGGGGTGAATTCGTGCCTCGTGTTCCTGTGGATGACAAGCTCCACGTCTTCGATCTTGAAACTCTGACATGGACTGTGGCTGAAGTTTCCGGCGACAACCCACCGCCGCGCGTCGGTGTTACAATGGCCGCAATCGGAGATACCATCTATGTGTTTGGCGGTGGGGATGCTGAGCACAAAGAGCTGAATGAGCTGTATTCTTTTGATACAAAGACTAACAAGTAGACCTTAAACTCGAGCGGAGACGCCGGACCACCTCACCGGAGTTACCACTCAATTACCGCCGATGACCGGCATGTT